AAGACATAGGAAGCTGTTTCTTTTAAAATACAAACCATCACCAAAAATTTTAAATGTACATAATACTTAAATATTTGGCTGTTTTTATTTTTTAAAATGTAACAGACAGCAAAAAAGCAGCGTAGTGTCAAGATGGAAAATGAAAAAGATGCACTTTCTGTAATTGTCATACCATTTAAGTTACTAATTTGTGAATTCCATTTTGATTTGTACTTAACTACAGGAATCCTTATTTAATACAGTAAAATGGTTTAAGTGTATGCATATTAACCAATGGCCTCTCAAAAGCACATTTTCGATATTGAAAATAGAAGAAAAGAAAATGCATCTTTAAACATTTTATGGAATCTTTGACCACATACACATATACTTTGTTAGAGCTATGTGTTGTAGGGTTTGGTTTTGTTTTTGTATTTTTGTATTGTATATGAATTCTTTTTTAATGTGACAATTAGACACATCTTTAAAGGTATAGTCATAGATAAAAGAAAAATGCAGTATAATGATTTCCTTGAAAACTTCTACAATGTTAAATTTGCAGGCAGCTTCAGACTGTCTTAATGGTGGTAACTAATCACTCAGCTCTTTTAAAAGGTAGTAACTCCAGAGAAGCAGCCTGTATATATTCCTAACACTTTGTTCACTTTCATTTATTAGAGTAAGTCCCAAGTAAAACATTGGAAATGTATATAGAACTATTAGTTCTTACCTACTTGATTTAATGATATCAAGATACATGAATTTAACTTGCTTTAATGTAGGCAAACTTTTCATTTTTGTCTATTTTACTGTTAAAATCCCTCTCCTGCATATTCTTTTCTTGACTCAAATGAAATATTAGCCTATGGTCAAGATGGGAGAGAGAAATAACTGAGATGAATGTCTTTACTAAAATACCAATAAATTTGTCAAACTCAATAGTGTTCTTATTTTCTATTATGCTTAATTGTTATTGGGTTTTTTTGATTTTTCACAAATGTTACAATTGTTGCTTTTGCCCAGATTGTTGGCCAAGGTAATGGGAGGTTTTAAATTATTGTTGATTAGACTCTATCTAATTTAGCATATACTTCTATAGCATCCTTCTCCTCCCCTGCCAGAGTGTTTGCCCTATGCTGTAGAAAAGCCTATCAAAGCAAATCCAGTGTTAGAAGGTATTCTTTTACTAGTGTCTGCCATCCATTAGCTCTACGTATTTTCTTTGATTTTTAGAGGGAGAGGAGAGGAGAGAAGATAGAAACATCTCTGAGCAAGAAACAGGGATCTGGGGCCCCCTGCACGCCCCCCACTGGGGATTGAGCCTTGAAACCAGCAACCTGCTGGTGCATAGATCAACACTCAACTACTGAGCCACACTGGTCAGGCACAATATTTTCTTAATGCCGTTGCCCAGTAGTTCAGATCTTAATAAACAAAAGATTGAACTTAAACTAGAGTTAAGATTGATATATAGTTTGACTAATTACAAATGGAAGTTGTGACTTTTTATTTCGTATCATTTCTTCTACTTTTAGTGTTTTTTTTTCTTTAATGATCAAGATTACCTTGACAACACTGGGGAGGGATTGTTAGTTATTTTTCTGGTCAAGTGAAAATACTTTAAACATTTTTTAAAATTCATTTTGGAAAAAAATCTTAATATGTGAAAATTATAAGGTTTATTCATGTTCTCCAAATGTTAACTTATAGGACAATTGTCCAGATCAGGAAATTAACATTATTACAATACTTCTATTTATTATATTACCTTATACTGTTGTTCTACAGACCTTATTCAGATTTAACCATTTGCTCCCTTAATGTCTCCCTAGTCAAAGATCCACTTCATTGTCATATATTGTTTGTCTTCTCTCTTTAGTTCCTTTAATTGGGACACTTCGTATTTGTCTTTCATGACCTTAGATGTTTTGAAAAATCCAGGTCAATAATTTGTAAAAGATCTATTGGGGTTTACAATTAATAAGTACCTTGTGGGGAATTTCTTGGGACAGTACAAGTATCCTATTTCTCATACTTTTGCCCATTAATTGGTAGGCTTTCATACTGCCCACCCCCTGGGTTCTTTCCTGAAATGATTGTTAGTGTACTATTTGCCAAATGATGATTTTCTATTTCTTATCATTCTACTTTTAGTAGTTAAAATTCTGCAAAGTTGTCTTCCCTTTTTTTATGAGCATTTTTTTATTTTGTTAATCCTCCCCTGAGGATATTTTTCCATTGATTTTTAGAGAGAATAGAAGGGAGACAGAGAAAAACATCTATTGGTTGCCTCCCAACCAGTACTGAGGATTGAGCCTGCAGCTGAGGTTTGAGGATCAAACGTGGGACCCTTCAGTCCGCAGGCCGACGCTACACACTGAGCCAAACTAGCTAGGGCTCTTCCCCCTTTATTCAGTAATTTTATTGATCATGGACTCAAGTATTATTCTGTAGTTTATAACCCATTACTACCATTATTTTGTTACTCAAAATGTCCCAGATTTGCCCATGCAAACCCCTTTCATTTATCGCTTGAATTTTTGCCTAAGACCAAGTGTAGTATCTGTTCTTATCAGTTTAATATCTGATATGTCCTCTATCTGAAGACAATACATTAAATAGATTTAAAAAAAAAAACTCATTTGACACTCTCATGCCTTTTTGACACAGCCCAACTGTGCCAAGCCAGCTCAGCCAAGGGTTCACAAGCCTGATTACATTGCTTAATACCTCTAGTACAGTATTGCATAGTAATAGAAATTAAGGGCATCCTTGCCTCATTATTCTCAGTGGAAATGTCTCCGATGTTTTCCCATTAAATAAGATGCTACTTTAGGACTGAGGTAAGTATTTTATGTTAAAAATATCCATCAATTCCTATTTTCTGAAGTGGTTTTGTCAGGAATAGATGTTGAATTTTGTCCAAGGCTTTTTCAGCATTGTATCAACGAAGGAAACCTTTAATAAAAAGAATTGTTAGCATGAAACTCTCAGATGTAGCAGAAGCAGCAACTGCAGAAAGAAACTACTACCCTTAGGGCCAGTGGAATAAGTGAACAAGGGAGAAAGACTTAACATCTTAGAGAAGGGGACCAGAGGCCGAATTTCGGATCTTTGAAATGTGCAGATGCTGGAAGGAAGAGCAGCATACTAAGTTGCCCATCACCACGATGAAGACATTTTTGAAACCCCATGATCAGATTTCATGAAGAATCATCTCTCTCGTGATATGTAGCCCTTCACCCCCACAGGAATCCACTGTCGGCAATAATTGTTTTTAGTTCTACTTTTCATTTTACTATCCAAATTTCCTACACTGACCCTACATTACTTTGATAATTGAATTCACATGGTTTAATATTTAGGAAAAGTAAAAACTAATATAACATGTAAATACCAAGGATGATCACTATAAATGCTGCAAGACGTACCTGAATTCGTGTATATCTGTATCACTGACATACTCACATACCCCAAATGAGTTTCACTCAGAATCTAGCATTGTCTTGATCTCATGCTATTATATAGCTATAATTAGTATTTTATTCCTACTTTTAGAATTCCATAACTAAATCATAATGTGACACTTGAATAAGAATTATTAGAAATGAATTTATCCATGTAACCATAACTGAAAAGTTTCTATATAATATACAGGGTGGACCAAACATTTACAGTTCATATGGAAAATAATACAAGAATAAACTTGTGTACTCAACTAAACCTACGTTTGCCCTATCCTGTCTATAGAATATATCATTCATTATATCTTATTGGAAAAAGGTCAACACAAATGACACAAGTAATGCAAAAGAGTAACACTGAAAGACTAAGAATGTTGAAATATTTGCAAATGATTAAAGCAAATTAACTGAAGTTGCAATTGAGAATAAAAAGGTATATGTGTGGGGACATGGGGCAGATGAGAACTCTGCTATTCCACTCAGTTTTGCTATGAACCTAAAACTGCTCTTAAATAAAAACTTCTTTTTAAAAAGTCAAGATGTGAGTAGTGGTTTCACTCAGATTCATAAGTACCTCTCCACCATAAATAGAAGTAGTAATTGTGTGTAAACCTGTCCCCAAATATTAACATTATTATTGTAATGCTGTGTGTGGGTATTAAATATCGTACATGCCAGCAAATTTCCCCAAACAGGATTTAAGTGTAATTAATGTTCTCAAAGGAAAACAATGTCACTCCCTGCTGATGCTAAACAAGTTTTTCTTCTGTTCTATTTGAATTCTGTAGCACGCATTGTCTATGTCATGCTCCAGGGAAGAAAATCAGGAATGATAAATACAACTCTTAACACAGGTCTTGCTTTCTCTGGTGGTAGTAACAAGAAGCAGCTGCTATACCGTGCCAACTTTGAATATTTTTATTTTTTATTTTAGAGAGAGAGGAAGGGAGAGAAGCATCAATTTGTTGTTCCGCTCATTTATGCACTCACTGGTTGATTCTTCTATGTGCTCTGACCAGGGATTGAACCTTCAACCTTAGTGTATTGGGACGATGCTCTGACCAACAGCTACCGACCAGGGCCCTGTGCTAACTCCTAAAATAAGGGGTACTGGGTAGTATTACCATGCTGAAATGGATAAAAATTACGATAACAGTCACCTCTTCTCACACACGAAGTTATTTTTATTCCTATGGTGGTTTGTTTGCTTCCTACAGAGACATTAG